ATAACAATCAAATGCACACCCACAGAATTCTCACATGGACTTATTACTATTTGTTAATATCACTGCCGTTCATTGTTGATGCCCAGTGTTGTATGAAGGCACATGTTGTTTTTACCCATCTCAAAGACGCCCTTATTACTACCACTGTCAGAATGTCTTTAATCTATTGATAATTTCTCTTCTCTCCATAGATTTTTAAAGATAAACTGAGCCATAACTCCTATAATATATATTTACCCTTTTAAAGTATAAAGTTTTTTTTTTTTTTTTTTTTTTTTTTAGTGAGTGTGTGTGTGTGTGTGTGTGTCTGGAGTTTGACTCCAGGGCTTTGGTGCTCCACCACTGAGCTACATCTCCAACCCTCCATTTATAAACTATTATAAATACAACCATCATATTTGGTGAATTTTAATGTTACTGTACACGTTTTTATGTGAATATATGTTGTCTATTCTGTTGGGTATTTACCCAGGAGTGCAATTGCTGGGTCATATGCATTAACAATTTGATTAAGGATTTGAGGAACTGCAATACTGTTTCTGAAAGCAGCTGCAGTATTTTACACTCCAACCAACAACACACCAGTGCTCCAACTTTTCCGTATCCTTTCCAGTATTTTTTATTTATTGTCTATCTCTTTTATTATAAACATTCTGGTAGGTGTAAAATAATATCTCATTATGCTTTTGATTTGCTTTTACTTAAGGATTAAGAATTTTTTTCATGTTTTTCTTTTTGGCAATATTTATATCTTCTTTGGGTCTTGTCTATTGAAATTCTTTGCTCACTTTATTAAGAAAGTTGTTAATCTTTTTGTTGTTAGATTTTCTTTTTACATTCTAGGTACTAAACTCTTAGCAGATACATGATTTATAAATATTTTCTCCCATTATGTTGTCTTTTCACTTTGTTTGCCTACCATGTTTTTTTAAAAGCATAAAAGATTTAATTTTGGTGATGACAAATTTATCATTATTGTTGCCTGTGATTTTTTTGTCATATCTAAAAACCTAATTTTAGTCCAACAACTTAACATTTATGACTAAAAATTATCCTAAGAATTTTATATATTTAGCCTCTATATGTTTTTAATCCATGCTAAGTAAGCCTTTTGTATATGCCACATGTGGGGGTCAGCCATCATATAGATTTAGAAAGATATAAATATAAATAAATACAGATATGTAGGTAGGAAGGTAAATAGAGGTACACACATATATAATATGTATACATATATATATATACACACATATATATATATATCTATATATACATATATATGAAATTTTTTTGCATGCGAATTCCAGTTGTCCTAGCACCATTTGACCATTTGTTATAGAGATTATTCTTTTATCATTGAATGATCTTACCACTTTTATTGGAAATAAAATGGCCAAATAAGTCAGGACTTATTTTTGAATTTTATTTCATTAATCTAGATATGTATTCTCATCCCAGTACCAGGCAATCATTTTATCCTACCTAGTAAGCTTTGAAATGGACAAATGTGAGCCCATTAACTTATATTCCATCATGTTTAATGCTCATTAATTTATGTGATGTATATTTATTGGTAACCCCCTGAATTCTGCCTTGAGAGTTTGGTGGGGAAATCAATGCACATATACAGTCTCTGCTTAGGTTAGAAACTATTTGGCAAAGAGAGAAAACAAGGGAACATAAGAATTTATATTTAAGATATTTATTTCTTCCTGTGACCCAATAAGTTTGTAACAGAAATCAAAAATGCTGACAGAGCAAAACAAATTAAAATCTATGAGGTCAGTGTGTGAGAAAAAGTCTCTTGTCTAATGAGGAGCCTTTGGCTGTTACCTAACATGTCAAACTAAATTAAACTTTGTTATTCTCTAGTCCCTGTCAGGTATACCTTATTTCAACATGAATATCTTTTATGATTATATATACCTTTCCTTGGGAAAAAATCTTTTCTGATATTTACACTTACTTTCTTTCTCTCTCATACTATAGTCATACTCTCAAGGAAAGCATGATGGAATGTCATCATGAAAATTAGGAAGGTATGAGCCAAATTCCACTTGAATATTGAATGACTGATCCAAGGAGGAAATGCTATGGTAGAGAAAGCAAGGGTTAATCTAAAAGTGAGAGACCTCAGGGAGAAAGTGGAACTGAAAGTGGAATTATTCACTGAAAAACATCCTCCTGAAGGATATGTGTCTAATGATAGTACTTATTCTGAAAAGTGAAATAAAAGAAATTAATAAGCATAGTAATTGTCACTTCCATGATTATGTCTAGTGTATATGACATCTCATCAAATTACAGATGCAGATAGAGCAATGTGTCTGTGTATTCACATGAAAATAGTATCCAGTTAAAACAAGTAAAAGATAAATATAGTATCTAATCTTTTTTAAAGTGTGCACTTAAATATAAAACTCCCCTCAGCTAAATAACTCAAATAAGTATTATATTTGTGGGATACAAATTTTCTCTGACAGGGATCATAAGGAACCTAGGAAATATGTAGAAATGGAGGAATTACATCTATTGGAACTCTTGCTACCCTCCCCGCCACAAAGTCTTAAGTACATTTAAAAAAGAAACTATTATTAATTTGTGTGAGAAATCATGATCAGTAAATACCAATACTTTTTACAGCACTAGTAATTTTAAACCGTTCTATATCAAAAAGTTTGAAGAATGTCAAGAAGGTCGTTTTCTAGATTGTCCATTAGTAAAACTGGCCAAGCAATTGTGGGAAGCTTTTAAAGGGTGGATTTAAAGTTCTATTCCAGACTTGCTAAATCTTATCTATGCAATGAGAGAACTACTAACAGGAGTAAGTGTGTGTGTGTGTGTGTGTGTGTGTGTGTGTGTGTGTGTGTGTGTGTGTGTGTGTCCCCTCAGTGTTCTGGTGTGATCTAAGAAATGTTTGCAGAACATTCTAATGAAATGGTGACTTTGGAGCACATCTTAAGTGACATATATGCTGTTTCTTTCATTAAGGGCCTCCAAAGCCCTCATTTATTTTTGCCATTAAATAGAAGTCTACATTGACAGTAGAGAAGCATTGGAGAAATATGTGTGGAAAATGGTGTTTCACTGCAAAAAGTGAGTTCAAGCACAGAAGGAGAGCTGAGATGAGAAAAGAATCGTGCATCTCAAATAAAAAAAAAAACATGTTTTCCACCTTTTCATCCCTGTTTTAGATAGAATAAGAGGATGTGCCCCTCTGAGTCTTGGCTTTCTTTCTGTGATCCCAACATAATCCTTGGTTCTCCACCTGGAGCTTAGGCCCAGGGATATGAGATTGAGTGCCCCAGTCCCTGCAAGTGCTGAACCCAGCACTACAATTCACCCAAGAGTCTGGCAGATGTACTCATTGATGGTCCTTCAAATTCCTATTCTCATTTCAATTCTCCTTTAATTTTTCTCTTGGCCTATGAAGTGTGTCTGTGCCTCTTCTGGCTGTCAAATGCCCTGCTATAATGTCTATGGTCTTTCAACTGTCAGAGGTAGCAATGAACTTTGGCATTTGAAATTTTAAGTGGATCTAATTAAAACTAATTAATATCAAAAATTTAAAAAAATGGTTTATGAATATTGAAAAGAATGCTAATTGGAATTATCATATAGACTCGGAAGTAGTTGGCTTTCAAAAATGCAAAGACCTAAGGGTCATTGCAAATTAAGGGGTGCGAATTAAATGATTTAACAGGAATAAGGTTCATTAGCAGAGTATAGCAAAATTATGTCAGCTAAATTAATGCCTTTTAGAAATAAATTTAAAAATTGATTTAGATGAAAATAATACTTTATTATTTTTTATAGATTCCTTTAATTATTTTCCTTGAAAATTCAGTCTGCTGAATGTATCAAAGCCCCTTTTTATTGCAATTTCCCTGTTTATTTGTATGAGTTGATTTTTCTAAGAAACTCAATATTCTTTTAAGAATCACTATACAAATTGCACCTTCAGAGAATTGTTGTGGAAGTATCATTGACATGTGTGATAATTAAAATATAAATTGCCAATTTGGTCCAAGTAAAGCAATAAAAACATAAATTCTCTTTGAGAATGAAACAAACAATGATTTCTTATATAATATTCAGTTTGGCACTATTGTGTGTGTGTGTGTGTGTGTGTGTGTGTGTGTGTGTGTGTGTGTTAAACAACAGGGTCTGTTTTATGTGCCTTGTTGGAAAATATTCAACCAAGATGAAAAATCTTCCCTTTACTTAGGTTTTAATTTATTTATTTTTTAATTGTAGATGGATAGAATGCTTTTATTTATTTTCATGTGGTGCTGAGAACCGAACCCAGTGCCTCACATGTGCAAGGCAAGTTATCTGACACTGAGCCAAAGCCCCAACCCCTTTTATTTAGTTTTTACTGTACTTTTTTCTTTTCTTTTTGTACATAAATGTTCATACAACTTTAATCTAGTAAAATGAGAAAGAACCCAAATGTTTAGCAAGAGGTGAATGGAAGAATAGTGGTTCATCTATATAATGAAATAATTTCAAGCAATGAAAACAACTAAGCATTAATCTGACTACTGATAGATGTGTCATCTTCAGTGAACTTCAAAATAATCATGCTGAGCAAAATAAGTCAGACAAAAAGCTATATGTTTCAGGCTGGGGGTGTAGCTGGTGGTAGAAGTCTTGCCTAGAATTCATAAGGCTCTGGGCTCAATTCCCAGCACATGTCCCCACCAAAAGTATGTGTTTCTAATTACATAAAACTCTAGAATATGCAAGTTAAACGATGACAACCAGAAGTAGATCCCTTGAACTGGAGAAAACAGGAATGGCCAAGGAAAAAAGGAATTGCAAAGGGGCATGGAGAAACTTTTAGGGGTAATATATATATTTGGTGTTTTGATTTTAGTGATGGTTCCAATCTGTATGCTTTAAATATGTCTGGTTTGTTGTATGCCAAGTGTCTTTAATAAAACGATATTGTATGAAGTAAAGGTTAATTTGACCTGTTTCTTTGTGCTTTTTTAAAGGTGACTCCTAAAAAAAAATACCTATGTAGCTGACATTCCATTTCTACTGGAGAGTAATGAACTAGAGCCAAGAATAGTTTACAGGATCTTTGGGGGACAATGAAATATGACCAACACCACCACTGGGATTCCTTCAGGTACACCCAGAATGTGAAATGTAGGGCAAATAACCATGCTTTTTCAACAAGTAATGGCATGTGAGACTGCAGTTAAATGGGGCACTTGGAAAATAGCAATAGGTTGCACCATGTTGCATTCTTTGAACCTGATTTCCATCTTTCTTTTTAGAGTTCTATGGTTCTCTTGAAGACAGCATATTCTCTTTTCTTTCATTGGCATGTTGCCACCTCCTTTCCCACACCCTGTCAATAATCTTTCTTAAATTCTGCCGGAACTTCCTTTCAGTCTAGCTTCTTTACTCCGGAGCTCTCCTAGCAGCCTCAGAGTCAGTCTCTGAATCTTTTCAAATCTGTACCACTACCAGTTTGACCTGCTAAAACACAAATCCTAGTCTTTTCATGCTCTTGCCTATTAACTTCCGTGGGTTTCTCACAGCTGACAGGGTACCTCTTTGGGGTCAGCTGCAAGGTGTTCTAATCTCATATATGCTCATGTCTTATGATGTGTCCAGAATAACAAGAGGAGCTCAGCATGTGCTAAGCACTTTGAATGTCATATTAAATTTAATTTGAACAAGAATAATAGGAATTAGATATCAATTAGATCCCTCTTTTATAAATGAAGAAACATGCTGCATAATTTATTAAACTTGATTTTCAAGATGAAAATCATAATCAGATATATTCAAATTAACTATTGCACTATTGTGCTAGTAACTCAGGTTTGTTCAGCAAAATTCCTCCTTCTTTATTAACCCAGTTTCTCTGTTTCTCCCTTTCTTTCATTATTTCTTGGATTTCATAACAAGATGATTTTTTCCATAGGAAGGTATCTTTCTATAATAGAATATTTTTCATATACATTATAAATTTATTTGAACGATACTTGGTTTTTAAATCTTGTTTTCTTTTCACTTGCTTCCTTCACTGATGTGTTTATTAATATCTGATGGTATTGTTTATGTACCTAACTGTTGCATAGTATTCCATATTGGTGAACTAGCACATTTTACCTGCCAATCTCCTAGAGATGGACCCCTAGACTGCTTTGAGTGACAAGCTACTAAGCATAGTACTAGAATAAATTCTTTCCGTGTATTTCCTATTGACTTATGACTTTGCTGGATCAGAAAGTTTTCACATTGTTAATTTTGATTAGTACGGCAGACTGTTTTCCAGAATGATAATTTGAATTTATATGCTCATCACTATCTGCATTGGTTATGTGAGGATTTCCATTTTTTTCATATTCTATATAAATTTCAGCATAATACATTCTTTAATTTTGACATTTTAATGAATGCAAATTGATATGCTGGAAAATGTATTTGCATATCTCTTATTATTAGTAAGTATAAGAAGTTCTTTACATTTTTAAACATGTGTCTCATATGCAAATTGCTTATTTATACTCAGTTGTCAATAAGTAGTTTAATTGAATAAAAAAAATCCTGGCTTGGCATGATGGTGCATGGCTCTACTCCCAGCAACTTGGGGAGCTGAGACAGAAGGATCCCAAGTTCCAGTCCAATCATAGCAACTTAGGCCCTAAAACAACTTAGTGAGATTCTGTCTAAAAAAAAAAAAAAAAAAAAAAAAAAGTAATTCTGAGGGCTAGAGTGGTAAAGCACACTAAGTTGAAGGGGAAAAAAATTCCTACATAGACTTGGTCATATCACAGTTTTTCAAAAGCTTTCATGTGTCAGAAATTAGATCCCCTTTGTAGTAGTATTGGTAATAGGGATTATTTGGAAGTGATTTAGGTCTGAAGGCTCCACTCTCATTAGTAGATTAATGCTGATGATATATGGGTTTGACACTCTGAATTTAACGTTCCATTCCTCCCTCTGTGACCTTCTTTTATCCTTACTTTCTTCCATGGCAGGGCACAGTAGGAAGGAATGTCAGAGACGCTAATCTCTTGACCTTAGACTTACCAGTCTCCAGATCAGTGAGCCAATACATTAATTTTACTTATAAATTACCCAGTGTCAGATATTATGTCACAGCAACACGCGTGAAACAAGACAACTCCATCCTTGCCAAACAGACTTTTCTAACAGTTGACTTCCTTTCGGGTGTGCTCATGGGGAGGTAAAATGGTCCAACAGAAGATATTTCAGTAGATTCTCTTTCATCCGGTGGCTTTTTATAAATATTTATCGAGGAACTCACTTGTGCCAAATATTGTGTTAACAACCAAAGATGAAAAATAGTCATTGCCCTGCTCTCATGAAACTTAACGTTTAGCAGTGAAGAGAAATATTCAACATATACACGTACAAGGGAAAATATAAAATATGCTGCTCAGAGGCCAGAGGTAGACCAGAAAGATGCCCTACTATGAATTTGCTAGTCTGGAATGACTGCTCCATGAGAGTGATCTTTGAATGAGTTTTCTGAGTACAATTAAATTCTACTGATAAAAACCAAGGAATTTAATATATTTTACTTGTTATATTTACTTATATATGACAATAGAATTCACTTGGATCTATCATATATTGGAGTATAATTTCTCATTCTTCTGCTTCTACCACCTAAATACAGCCATTTCATACTAGACAAAGGCGCCCAAAACTTTCACTAGTGAAAAGATAGCCTATTCAATAAATGGTGCAGGGAAAATTGGAAATCCACATGGAACAAAATGAAATTAAACCAAGGCACTTTTAATGGAGCAATGTTTAATGTACTTTTGAAAGCACCCTGCTATTTAGAGACCAGACCGTGGACTGAAATGAATTCACTGATAAAAATGTTCCTTGTAAGGTGCATCTGAGTGACAACCATCTTTCACACACAAACTCTTCAGTCCCAAACTATTTTTGCATTTAAACTCTGACAAAGCCTAAGTCAAAAAGGTGACTCTCCTTGATTCCTAGGATGCTTTCTCTTTGATCTTTTACCCATTTTCCACCAAAGACAAAGGAAAAGGAACTCCAAGTTGTTTCTATGGCTCTTCTATAGTTTCCAAAAGTTCCAATGGTCATCTCATTTGCAACTGATATTATCATTAAGAAGCTCATATAATTTTATTTTATGTTAATTCTGACTTTTCCAGTGAACATCATTAAATAATATTTATTTATATTAAAACACTGAACATATTTATATGTTTTTTAAAAAGTGACCCTTAAAACTGGTCCTGGAGGTCTTTGCCCTTGCTTAAAATTCATGAGAACAGCTGGCATTCTAAGTTAGCTCCTTTGGGCAGCAGATGCCGGTTGGCCTCACAGTCTGGCAGCCTTTCCCAGGTGGAAGCCTGTGTTAGGCTTCAACAGCAGATGCCGTGAACTCTGTAATGGAGTCTATAACGGAAGGGTGGAAAGCTCTCTGGATTGAGGTTATACTGGCCACTCAATATATTTTAATCTACCTAAAATTACAGAAATAGTTGTTTTCCTCCAAAGACAATTATCTCTTATTTACCACCTTATATTCATCTACTTGTTTGTCTGATAATAGATTTCTATTAGGAAAACCTAAGGCCAGCACAGTGCTAAGGTAAGATGATCATAAATGTTTAGAGAGTTGGTATTGCTTCACATCAAGAGATTTATAATCTAGTGGTGTATAGGAGAATGTGTACAAGTAATTATTCATAAATATAGAACAAAAGAAAAATAATCAGGAAGTATGTGTTAAATATAAGATAAGCCCTGTCTATCAAATTGGAATGCTGGTATAGTAGAAGAAAGGAGATACTCTGAGCCTTAGCCAAATAATCTGAAAGAAGCTTTCTGAATAGATGCTTTCTTTGCCATGAGTGAGTCTGACTGGATTGAAACCAGAAAAATAAACTAAATGATCCTAACTGCCACTTGCATATCGCTTTCCTGTTCACAAGCTCTTTTACCTATAACTTCTTTCTTTCTTTTAAATAAACCTTATTGTTAACACAGTTTTAAGTATATGTGAAAATTTCAGAAAAAGCATGGTTTCCACATCATTCATGCCTAGTTTTACCTACAGTTATTATCTCACATTATTATGGTACAAGTTATAACAAATAAATTACTATCGACACATTTTATTTTTCACCGAAGTCCTTAGTATCTCTCTCCTCTCCTCTCTCTTCATATATATATCTCATTTATATATATATATATATATATATATATATATATACACACACACATATATATTTCATTTGAATATTTAATATATACATATATATAGTTAATTTGTATATTTCATATATACATGTATATATTTCACTTGTATATTTCATATATATATGTATATATATTGTTTTTTTTTCTAGGATCCCACCTAGAATGTCACATTACATTTATTTGCCTGTTCTTTTTAAATTGCTCTTGGCTGTGACAGTTTATACAATTTTTTCTTTTTTCTTCTTTCTTTCTTTTTTTTTTTTTTTTGATGACCTTGGCAGTTTTGAGGATCACAGATCAGATATACTGTTGGCTGCCCCTTTATTGGGGTATAACTCATGTTTTTCTCTAGGTTTAGACTGGGGCCATGAGTTTTGAGGAGGGAGATCACAGAAGTAAATGTTATTTATCAAAGATGCCCACTATCAATGTGACTTAGTGTGGATATTGACTTTATGTATGAATCCACTTTTCCTTGTGGTGACCAAAATACCAGACAAGGAAAATTTAGGGGGAAAGTTTATTTGGGTTCACAGTTTCAGAGGTTCGGTCATGGTGAACCAACTTCATTGCTCTGGGCCTAAGGGAAGGCAGAATATCATGCAGAAGGGCATGGCAGAGGGGAGCTTCTCAGCCATGGCAGTCAGGAAGGGTGGGGTGAACCGAACCAGTGACAAAATACAGTCCCCCAAAGCACATCCCCAGTGACCTACTTTCCTGCAGCCATACCCCACCTGCCTAAAATTACCACCAAGTAATCTATTCAAAGTATTGTTCATCTAGTGGAATAGCCCATTATTAGGTAACAGTTCTCATAATCACATCATTTCACCTCTGAACCTTCCTGCCTTGGTTAACATGAGCTCATCAGAGGACAGCTTATATCCAGACCATTACACC